GTCCGCCTGACTGTCAAGCCAAGTCACTTTGGTTGGCAGCCATGGCAACAGAATAACGACACGAATAAATGCGTGCATTTGCATTTATTAGATATTTAGCAGATAAACAAATTCTATTTAATTGTATAAACTTATTTGGCATAAAACATTTGTATTGTTTCTTTTTAAAGGAGGGAATAGAAGAGAACAGAGTTTAGTTATACAATACGATGATAATGATGACAAGCATGATGATAATGATGATTTATGCACCTGGTGTTGAATTTTCTTAGCTTGACGTTTAAATGTCTTAAATGTAAAGACAAAAAAAAAGCGAATTATAAAAATGCACGTGGGCCCTAAGAAACATGATAAAGTTGTTATAAAATATGACAATTAATATTAATAATATTTGGTTAAATGTGTCATAGGAAGAATTAACATATTCTTAACAATGAATCATAGAAAAAAGTCTACCTATTAGGAAAGGAATTCTACAAACCCGTTAAATAGAACAAGTTTTTTTTATTTATTTTTTAAATTTTATTATAATTGCCATCAATAAATATTATGTTTAAATTACAGCTAAAGAAAAATTGTGCAAAATATCTCTATTTATCACATATTTTGATATTATTTTTTATTTCAAAGATTTGGTTTTTGCCATTTTCTAGTAATTTATGTAGAAAAACACTTTAATTTATCTCCATAGGCCTCAATTGCGTACAACTATTTGTAAATAAGTATGTATGTATTTTCATACTCATATGTAAATATATTTATTTATATTAAGAGTGGGTTTAAAATATTTGTGCTATTTTGTCATTATTATTACAAATGCATGTTTTTGTATTTCAGTAGGTAAGTATGTTTTTATGAATATGTTCATATGAGTGTGTTTATGTGTTTCTTGGTGTTGCATGTTTTCATATCTGCAAATGAAAAACAAAATTTTGAAATATGTTGCATGCTAAATTAACATTTTCTTGTAAATTTTATTTGACTAGTAAAAAATTTAACAAACTAAATTAATTAAATAACTAAAATTTAATCAAAATTATTTCAAAGGATTTTTTAAAAACCTTGACTTTTTTTAACTTCTTATGCAATTTCAGTTTTTCTAATTTGAATTTTTGCAGGCGTTTTTAACCTCCACCTAAAGTATTGTAGGTGTTTGTCATAAATATAATTATTAAAACAACTTTTTGAAATTTTGATCAAAACTTTTGATATGATGATGTTAGGCTTTTTATTATGTTGTTCTTAAAATAGTTGTCAGAACAGTATTTTTCAAAGAAAATTTTAAAAATTGTACATTATTAAATGGAAAATGTAGCGTGTTTTGTACAAAATTTTTTAAAATGTGTTGTTATCAACACATTTAAGATAAAGATTTATAATTAAAATGTTTATCTTAAATATATCAATAAAATATAATTAGTTGTCATTTTGTATCTTATAATTACCTATTTGACCAACTTAACCTATAGAGAATTTCTCGCATTTAGTGTATAATACAAGTTAGCTTCTTAAGTCTTTCGTTTACGACATATGTACATACATAAATATTTTTAAGACTTATAAAAAACATTTTATAAATAAAATTTAATTAAACTTTGTTAATCAATGATACGAAAAAATCAATAAATAATCAAACCAAACAAAAAACCTATTGACCATGTTCTGGTATTTTTTCGTTTTTCTACACAGTTTTAATTAAATAACCTTTAGCCCTCAACAAAAACTGGCAAAGATATTTATCATATCATTTACATTCACTTCAGTCTAATTTATAATACATGCAAGTGTCAAATGCTCCACAAAAAAAAAAAAAAAAACATTTGACAAACTAAAAATAAATTTACTAGTGCAAAGCAAAAAAATCCCAAACACTCACACAGCAAACAAAAAATTCACTCTAAAGTAAATTGAAATAAACGAAAGTCAATGAACGAACGCAAATGTTCTGTAAACGCCATATATGTAATATACCGCATAGATAAATTACTTCAACTATTTTTGGTCCAAAACAAACATTCACAGCTAGAGTTAGCCAGGCCAATTCAAAGAAAACCTATAAGCCTGCTTTGTAATAATGTTTGTTTAGTATAGTGTTACCATTTAATACTTACAAGACAATAACAAAAAAATATATTTAAACAACTCCACCTTTAAGACTTAGTAACCCAATTTTTTCACTTTTTTCTTTTTGTAAAAAAAAAAAAAAAAAAAAAACAATTCAATAAAAGTGAAACATAGGCTTTTTGTTGTACCCATAGTTAAGAAGGAGGCTTATTTTTTTATTTGTTTGTTGGTTTTTGTATGCACAACGACTTTACCTCCACCTTCAAATGTAACGTTAAATTGCAAATACTAAATAGAAGAAAAACAACCAAAACAATACGCCTAAACATAAGCTGAGTCTTATGGAAGAAATAAGCTCGCAATGTAATAGTGTATCCAAAAAAACCTCTCGAAGGCGCACCTTTAGACTTTGAAGTTAAAAGCGAAAAAGACATAGATTATTTCTTTGCCAGTAATATGCACGAGTATGTCGCACAGTGGTAATTAAAGTGAAAAATTCAAATTCAAATAATTAAGTTTTTAAAACTATATTATTTTATACACAGACTTTGATAGAGTTTTCAAAGTCTGTCATTCTTTAAAGATTGAGCAGTGAATGGTTAATTTACAGAATGATTTGTAAATATTGTTCTAAAAAGTGTGGTGTGAGTTCTGGTGTTTGCTGGGATAAGAATCTCTGACCGTCGTGCCAACAACTTTAGTGTTTTTCAGGTTGAAATATTTTCGATATTGACAGTTTGTAGGGCATTATATGACTTCAATATTTATGAAAAAATTCTGTCGGCTTTCATTAAACTCATAATCTACCACTTTCCTTTCGGTCTGACAATGCGAGGAGTATCTGTTAAGACTGACTTTACTTTAGTTTGAGTCCTTGCATTTAAAGACTACTATTTAAGTCAACGGACAGATGAGATGCTGTTTCAGTAGCAAATCCTTTGAAAATTATCAAAAGTGGACACTTCATGTTATTTCTTCAAAATGCTGTAAATAGTTTATGTGACATTATTTCAATGAGAAACGCAATTGAAGCAGGCTATTGCTGGCAGTAAGAAATAGACCCTTGCAAGTCGGCTTAGGGTCACCTTTAACGATCAATCGATTGTCGTAGTTACTATGAAAGGGATAAAGAGGAATGAGCTTTCCACCTTATCTGCGAATGGTCTGCATTAGCTGTAAAAAGGAATAAAGTCTTGCAAAGAACTATCTGGGCCCAGATACAATGATCTATTGAGATACCTCTCTACTACATGCTGGATCTCATAACACATATATATGACGAGCATCATGTAAAACGGGGTCCTTACGAATCTACTTGACAGTTAGCCCTTAGTTAGGTTAGGTTGATAGGATTATGCATCTACATCAAATCTGAAGAAATACAACTAGGACACAATTAGTCCTAGGAAACATGGAAAATTATTGTTGGTAAAAACAAAGACCTCATGTGTTATCGCCCGATATTCAGAAACTCAGTTTCCTGGATTTAATTCCCAAGAATTTTCCAATCAGTGTTCGTAAGGGATATTATATCCGGAAGACTTTTGGATCTAATTTCGACGAAAGGCAAAGAAAGTGCTCCAACGTTTCAATGTCCTCTCTACATCCATCTGAATTCACACGTCCAATATTGTATAGCTGTGCCCGTAATACTAACCTCAGAATTGCTCATTTTGAGAAGGCTTCTCGTCTTGATTCTAGTCTTTCTCTCAAACATATTTTTATAGTTCTGCACTCGTTGAGTCAAATGGTTTTGCGTTCATCAGGTTGACTACCTCGAGCTACCTTCCCTTTAAAGCTATTACTTACATTCACTCTTTCGTTTTTAACTACTAGGTTAGTTTATGACGCCAACGAACAGTTAAAGAAGACTCCTTTGTTTTCAACATTTGAGAATTATTTATGACTCATTAATATAGATTCAGATGACCTGTATTCACAATTCTGTGGGAGGATATTTAATAGAAAGTTATTTCAATGGAGCCATCGTTTGTTAATTGAAAAGAAAAAAAGTCGAAATTTGTTTACAGAATCTGGGGATACATAAAAATATTGAGAATAAAAAAAATAATTAGCCGGGGTATCGGAATATATATATCAACAATTTTATAAAAATTACAAACTTTAAAGGCATCTCCAAAATATTAAAAACCAAAAATCTTTAAAGGCATCTCCAAAATATTAAAAACCAAAAAATCATACACTAACAGACCTGGTAATTAAACTGGTAGCTCGCTAGACACAAGCAATTAAGTGTGTATAGCCTAAAACCTTTTTGATGAATTAACCTCTACTATCTACATATATAATTTATTTCGCTAAGATAACTTTTTAATTGTTGCACTTAAAGTTCCACTGTCTTTAGCAGTTTAGTGTTTTTCATGTGTAAATAATAAAAAAAAAACAAAAATAAAATACGAAAATTGTGTGAAGTATTTTGTTGTGGCTTTTTGTTTATACTGCATTGAAGCTGCTGCTGCACATGCGTGGTTTTCTTTAGGCTCAAAAGTCTCATAAGCAGAAATCTCTCAGATTTTTTCAAACTTCTACATGTGTTTTTGTGTCGTATATGAAATGGTAAATAGTAGAAAAAAATATATATATTTTTACCATATTGATGACTGCATCTTGGAATCACAGGCACACACACTTATGCTAAGTAATGCACTTAGTAAGCACTTATGCTGGCATGCTGCACTCTTGCTCATAGATAGATTAAAGTACATGTTAGTGTAGGTATCTATGTATGAATATTTTGTTGCATTGTTAGAGAGCTCATATCTGTTTGCATCTTTTAACTAATGTTTGTTTGGTTTCTTTGAATTTTTTGTGGTGGTTTTTGTGCGGATTTTTTTTTTGCAGCAGCAGCAGTTTTCTTATACGTTGTCGTTGTTTGTCTCATTTAAAGGTTTTGGAGCTGCAGTCGCTATTTGCAGTGCAGTGTTTGCAATAGCAATTGTAACGTATATAAATAGTTTTGGTCATTTGGAATAGTCATCAGTTCAACGTTTTCTTGCAAACGGTGTGTACTACATATTAAAATTACCAAAAAAATAACTAATTATTTTAATGTTATTAAAAAAACAAAAAAAAAAATAAAAAAAAAATAAAATTTATCATTTGATATTTGAGTGAATTTTTTAATATTTTTTTATATATTTTTGTTTCTAGAGAATCGATTTTAAATCTTTCGCAAAGATCTCGTGTGTGTGCGTGTCCTTTTTTGTGATTTAAATAAAAACAATATAATCAAAGTATAAAAATGAAGGTAGATATTTTGAAACAATAAAATTATTATGAATTTAAAAATGTGGATTATTTAAAGAACATTTAATAAAAAATAAGAACTAAAGCCTTAATAAGTACTATAGTGTTTATTGGTGATTACTTGTGAAATATGTGTTTTATATTGAGTTTAAAGGCATGATATTTAATATTAATTATTTTCAATGTCTTGTCAGAACATATCTGCATAGTTGCCAGGATTTGCAACCACATTATTTAAGTAGTTTTTTACTGTAAAATTTAAATAATATAAACTAAGATGATAAAAATGTTAATCTTCCAAGTCGTGTCTTCAAACTGAAGCAGAATCCTAGTTCTATTCAGAATTACATGTACTAAAATACTAAAAAAAATAAATCTATTGTGTTTTGCAATATGGGTCAAAGTTCAAGATTAATAAGAATCCAGTTAAAAGTAAACTTTTAACCGATCGTCATAAAATGTAGTTATGAAAATGAAAGTTATTTTCTGAAGGAGATAGGGTCAAATATTGTCCGGTATTGGCAAACTTTACGTTATAATTTGAAATATAATTTCACATAACTAAGATATGCAAAATCAATCACGTTTACTGCATATTCTTCATATTTATTTATGACCGATTAAACCATATTTCGGAACCAACTGGTATAAATACGAGGTGATCTTAAATAACCTATTGGTCTTTATCTATAAATTTAAAAATTGCGAGGAATTAATTGTCAACCATAGCGCCATTGGTTTTCAAAATATTTGAATAATTTATAGTTTTCCTTTTAATTTGTTATAGTTTTCAAAATAAATTATTTTTGAACTTTTTATTAAAAAGACCCTATTAGTTTTTAAGGGAATAGTTCTTGTTGCATTTTATTCCGATTTTAATTTTTTTCAATACTACAAGAATCCTAACATTCGTAAAACATAAATTTTTAACTTCCAATACAGTATTTCATTGCTATCGCTTTACTTGTCGCTGCCGCCCAAGCCATTCCTATTGAGTTGGGTCACTACGGTCATGGACCTTTGTTACATGCTGCCCCCGTTCTAGCCCATGGCCCCGTCTTAGCGCATGCTCATCCAGAACCTGTGGTATATATGAAAGCTTAAATCATTGATCTTAAGAAGTTGTTATTTCAATCAAAATTTGTTTTCTTATACTCTTTAGGCCTATCCTAAATACTCATTCAACTATGGCATTAAAGATCCTCATACCGGTGACATTAAATCACAAGCTGAGGAACGTGATGGTGATGTAGTCAAGGGTCAATACTCTTTGGTTGAACCTGATGGTTCTGTACGTACCGTTGACTATACCGCCGATGATCACAATGGTTTCAATGCCGTTGTACACAAGACCGCACCTAAGATCGTTGCTGCACCCGTACATGGTCCAGTCTACGCTCATGGTCCAGCACCATTGTTGCATCATTATTAATTTTCATCAACACAAAGAAGACAACAAAGAAAAGAAAATAATTATAAAATCTAATTAAAGAAGACAAAACAAAAGGAATGTCAGGGATGTAATGTAATGAAACGAAACTGAAGTGAAAAGTATAAAAATGAAATGAACGACAAGCTGGAAGAGACGACGAATGAAGAAATTAAAGACAAATTTTGCTATGAACTGGATTACGGTATGGTTTTTTTTATATTAAATGGTCTAGAATTTTAATAATATTTTTTTAATTAATACTTAATTAAAGAAAAAACAAAGTATTTAAGTTTCAAAGTTATCGATACGAAGTAAAAGAAACAATGATGATGAAGAAAAGAAAAACAGAAAAAGAAAAAACTATTGAAAGTATCAAAAAAGTATTTAGATTAACTTTAACTTTTAATTACAATTAATGCATTTAAAGGGTTTTTTCTTTTTCTCGTTTTTGTATTAAAGGAAACAAACGATTTTATTTTATATTTTTGTTTTATAATAATTTCTTTAAGTTAATTTTTCAATTCTTAAACAAAAAAACAACAAAAATTTCATTAACATTTCCTTTAAACTCTTACTGGTTCTCTTTATATTTCCTATTGAAAAAAAAAACATTACTTAAGAGTTGTTATTAAGAGTAATTAGAGCTTTTGATGTTGAACAAAAACACATTTCAGAGAGAAGTGTTGTAAAAAAGTATAGGTGTTTTAACAACTGTGTAGAGCATTGAAGAAAACCACCGTCTATTAATTTTATATTCTAAATACTCATAGTCTATTCTTAACTTTAATTATATTTCACTTTTGTAAATATTTATTTATATATCTCTTACTATCTAGTGAACTTTATTGCTCTTTACAGCCACAAAAACACTCCTTTACTCAATTAAAATCTATTTCTTCTTTCTGGCTTTAAAAAGCTTTAAGGATGGTCTTATTGTTTGAAATAAAGTTTATAAAACATTTTTGGTTTTTTGCATAATATTTATGCTGGTTAAGTTCAAGGTGCCATTTTGTAAGCATAAACCATTTTATTACTCTTAAAAACAACTTTTCTTTCTCGATGTTTTTGAAATCATCAAATACTCTTTTGGAAATGTGTGATAATTTAATTATCATTGTTGGTGTATAACTTACATATATATGAATCCTTTCAAAGTAAGCAGCAAAGAGATTTAACTTCAATAGAGCCGGTCACTGTGCATTAATATTATTTCAATTTCTGAGATTTATATCCTAATTTTCACTTGCTCTCAACGCTCACTCTCTTTCTTTGGCTGTCACCTAATGTTTGCTCTTCTCTGGTGTAAATAAACTTACTTTTAAAAACTAGTTTCAAGTGCATTTATATTTTATATCTAGAAATTCTTAAATCTCATGTAATATTAGCTCTAATTCAATTTTAAAAAACTCATCTCAGTCTATATATTCTAAATGTAAATATTATGGTTCTAATTCTATTAGAATTTCTCTCAACTTCTGTGTATACTCTCTTTCTCTCTCTCTTTATCTCTCCTTTTTTTATTTCAATATCTAAGTGTTTACAAGAAATTCTCTTATTGTAAATAAATTGTTAATAAGAAATCTTTAAGAGTGATTTGTTATACTAATAAATAATAGTTTGCTCTTTCTCTCTATGTGTATAAATCTTGTACTATTTTTTTTTGTTCTTATACTTTATATTTTTATAATTATTGTATTATACTTATGTGTGTATATGTTTTACGATTAATTTTCACAAATCATTTGCAACAAAACGTAATGTTTATGTAAATAAAAAAGATAAAAAATTAAATAAAAAAAATTAAATAAAATTTTAAAAGTGTATTATTTATTTGTTTAGATTCCTCACTGACATGCGTTTCAACAAAACAAAAGACTTAAGCCACGAACATGACTAGCTGTATTATTGTTTTAAATGTTTTTTTTTAAATTTTCTAAGACTTCTCACGTATTGTTGTAAAAACTATTTGCTAAAACCACATTTACCATGACCATTAATTTATATTGAAGTCATAATTGATAACTACCGATAGACTTTTTGAGTCTTTTATTTTTTTCACATACATTTTAGCAAAAACAATTACAACAAATTATAGTCAATTGACGCCTTCTCTAAAAAAAGTAATCAACAAAAAGAAGAAAAGAATAATAGAAAAAATGGCTTTAAGTTATTACTTAAAAACGCACAAAATTCTATCAGAATATCTTCACTACCATTCAGTATAATTTGATAAGTAAAAGAGTATATAGCTCATTAAACTAAACCCAAGTCGGAAATACAATGAATAATTAACAATTAAAGCCAAATAGTTTTTAAAGAAAAAAGAAAAAACAAAAACTAAAAATAATTATTAAATAAAATTTAATATTCATATAATGTTGAATAAAGCGTGTGTAGTTATTATTGTAAGTTGACTAAAAAAAAATGGTGAAAGATTAAAAGATATTTTTTTGTTATTAAAAGAACATTAATGTGATGTCATAGTTGTAGATTAATTATATAAAATAAAATATTATATGAAAGTGAAATTCTAGAAAACTTATTTGTGGCAAGATTTTGAAAAGTATAAAGTTTTATTAAAGACAACCTTTTTTAGGGAAAGAGCAATGAACTAAAATTTATTATTAATAAAAAAACTAAAAAAAAAAATTTACCACCAAAATATAAGTATAAGTTTTTGAACTAACTGCTAACTTGTTTTTTTGAATGAGTTATTTGGGAAAATATACAAATTTTTGAAAATCGGATGGAACATTTGTGCGGTATATTTTTAAAATTTGAATCTCATTGGCTACGCCCATGTTAAATTTTATACCGGTTGGATCAGCGGTTTCGAAATTCCAAATTTATTTCCAAACAAGTAAGAAATTATAGTCAGGAGGCCTGGTACAGTTAAATATTTCATTTAATTATCTTTAAAATTGCGACCCGTAGTTTGATTACAAGGTTTACATGGACGCACGGTCAGACGGACTGTCCGTCCGTAGCTAAATGTATGTAGCTAAAACGTTAAGCCAATTGATATACTTAAAGGTAGACCAGTATTGTACCATACAACATCTGCACAAGCCCGGTATACTCTTCCCACTAAAGTGGTGTAGGGTATACAAATACGTGCAGTGAGAGTTTTTTTTTATTGTTTATATTGGTTAGTTCTTAATTCTCTTATGGTTAAAACTGAGGTAGGCAAAATGGAAGCCCCTCAAAGTTGGTTACATTGGGTATCACATTTTTTTTTTAAATCGCCAAAAATCAATTTATGATCCGAATGAGCTGAAATTTAAAATATAGCTAATCCTTGAGAAGATCTTCAAAATATATGCTTACATACTGCTAAAATTCTAAATAAAACAAGTAAAACTTCCTAATAGTTATATTGTCTCTATTAAAAGTTAGACGCTTCCAAGTTTTGCAACATCTAACAAGTAAGAGTGTTATATTCGACTATGCCGAATCTTATATACCCACCATCAAACCGTACAAACATAAGGTTGATATTTGAAATATGGCTTAAGTCAATTATTGACACATCCCTTTCGGATTAACAAATTTTAAAAACTAAATATTTTTGTCCAACTTTTAAACCATGAACAGAAAAATTTAAAGTCATTTTTTGAAGACGCCTTATATGGGAGGCATCATCAATTATGAACCGATTCTCATAAAATTCGGTAGATAGATTTGTGCTCGTAAGAAATTTACTTATGTCGAATATACTCGTTATGCTCTATACTCGTATTTTCAAGCCAGTAGTGTCATTTTCTGAGAGGGACCTTATATGGGGAGTAGAGTCAATTGTGGACCGATTTATAAAATTTGAGAGATTTTAACTCATAAGAAACTAGCTTATGTCGAATTTCATCGCTGTACTCTTATTATTAAGGCAGCTATGAACGTTAAAGTAATTTTCTGAAGTGGGTGTTAAATTTTTTTGGGGGTACCATATATGAGAGGTAGGGTCAATCATGGACCGATCCTCATAAAATTTGGTGGAAAGAATTTGGATCATATGAAACTTATTTATGTCGAATTTCATCGCTATACTCGCTTTTTTAAAGCTGTTTTTTCGGGGGGCCACTTGCATGGGGGCTATGCGGAAACGTGGACCGATATTGACCATTTTCAATACCAAACAAACCTTACGTATAATAAGTATTTGTGCAAAATTTCAACTCTCTAGCTTTTTCCGTTCGGACACTATCGTGCTTTCAATAAATAGACGGACGGACGGAGAGACATGGCTATATCGTCTTAGAACTTAATATGGACCCGGAATTTATATACTTTACAATATAGGGTCGTAAAATTTTATTATACAAGTGAAGGGTAAAATAAAATAGTGGTAATAATCTACATATTTAGAAGACTATTTCCACAAAATTTCATCAAAATCGAATCAAAATTTTAAAAAAAATAATAATAAAGTTGAGTCTATTTGATGGCGTAGCATCGTTTGTGTTAAGCAAACGGGATATATGCAAACACTGATTTTTGTGTCCTTAGATATCATGGTGAATTTAACACCCTAATGTGGCTAAAAAGACACAAAATTTTAATCATAAAAACGGTTTAAACTCATAATTTTAGTAAAGTTTCTAAAGTTTAAATAAGATTTGGTACTTTTGATTTTCTCTCATTGGTAGTTGAATTGAATTTTGTATTTGTAAAACTTTTAAGCTCTTTGTATTCGATTTTAACTACTTCTATTAAAACTGCATAAGATATGTATTAAAGTAAATTTTTTAATAATTTTTGTTTTAAAGTTTTGAATATAAATCTCCTTAAGCTATGCTAATCTTTTATATTCCAGTGCCTCTTAGTAAACCAACAAATACACCAGACATGCAGCAAATCGTTGCCAACTTTAAACAAAGATCATGATGATGGTGAGAGTAAAAATCCCACAACCACTTATAACCGCCACAATATATTTGGTAAGTTTTGAAATAAAGCCTACAAAAGCTTTAATTTACGCTTTACTATTATTTTTTATTTGATTGTTTTCAAAACAGGTCCCAATACGTATGCTTTTGGCTTTGAAGTAAATGATAAAGTCTCTGGCAACATACAGTTTCGCGATGAACGTCGTTATGCTAATGGCACCATAGAGGGATCATACGGTTATGTACGTCCAGATGGCAGTGTTATGGTAACACATTTTATGGCTGATAGTGAATTGGGTTATTTAAGTCAATCGCAAAATTTCGAACCTGGTGATGAGCCAAAATGGCAAGAAAATTGGCCTACTAAGAGACCAAATATTTTGATGGAAAAGCCTTTAGAATCTATACAACCCACAGTTGTTTATGATGATAAGGAAAAATTAAATTTAACTTCAATTTTATTACCTGTAGAACCCATAAAGGAGAAACATGGAATTGATTTAAATCCTCCAGAATTAGAGAAAGAATTGGTTAATCCTGCTGTATTGGAAGTGATCAATGGCGAAGCTCCTTTACTGGCGGATAAAAATAAAAAGGATAACTCAGTGGGTTTTGAAACTATTCATCAATTTATACCACCAGAATTTCCTATTGTGCCCTTTAAATTGCCACAAGAGGATGTTAACATCAAACTTAATGAAGGCTTAAGTGCTAAACCAATACCAGTGCTTAAGAAAACGAATGAGAGTGACATGGACAACAAATACGATCAACAAAAATTAAATAATGCAGAAAAATCGTTAACCCTAAACGATAATGACTCACCATCAGATGAAAAATATGTCAAATCGCAAGAAAATAATGCTGAAAAATCTCTACCCGCCAAAGCCATTAAGTCTAGTGCAAATAATGAGGGCAATTTAACAAGATCTCCTCAGGCTAAAGCGATTTCCATTGATGAAAACACTGACTGGTATGATAAAGTCATTAAGAAAACACGCCAAGACTATTTGGAAACTGTGCAATAAATAATTAAAGTGTTTAATATGAAAATAAAATGAAACAATAATTTACAAATAATATTTCAATACTACAATTGACATAACGATTAACTCCAATAAAAGAAATAAATAATTGAACATTTAAAGCCTTAAACTATTCATTTGTCATTAAATGCTTTTATAAACAGTTAATAGTTAGTTAGATGGCTTAAAACAAACACTAAAACAAAGAATATGTCAATATATGGAGTTAATCGATTTGATAATTGAGTTATTAAATATATTAGTTTTTTAGAGCTTTACAATTGATATGCAAGTTTGTGTGAAACCATAAAGAACTAAATTTAGTAATAAATTAACATAGAGTTTTAGCTTTAAGTTGAAATGTTGACAAAATATACAAATAAAACAAAATAGGACGAAAAAAATTGAGTATTGATTTTACGTTGTACAAATATTAGGATGTAGGACTTATAAAACTTAAATTTTTAAACATAATTTTGTTCCAATTCCATTTTTTTTCAAACGGATGTCTAATACTTCATATGTACATATGTATGCATATGTTTATGCATATGTTACTGCAGCAGAATATAAAACAATCCAGCTGGTCTTTATTATCTTGTTGGTTTTGCATTATTTTATTGTGATTTATGTATCTGCATGCAATTTGATTTTAAACTTCATTAAATTTATGCCATAAATAACAGATATGATTAATTTTAATTCCCTGATTATAAAAAAAAACTCTTACAGCTTTATTATAACTAAACAATTTAATAATACCTCAACTTAATCCACTGTCCTACTTTAAACATGTAACTCAAATAATTTTATGCTCATTATAAATAAACGTTAAAAGAAACCAAAACAACTCAAAATTATAACAATTTAATCCTAGATATAGTTTTTATCTTAATTTATTTGCTCTAAATTTTTTCTAAGCTTTTGTACATTGTAAACTGTAACAATTTCAATTTGAATATCTAACGCTAAGTCACCTTAAATCACCCGGAAGATATTTGAAATAATTCACCTGTTTTTTTTTCTTTTCTTGCTAGTAATCTATGTATCTTTCTATCTTTGAGTATCTTAGTTTTGCATATTGTGTTTTAATATTTTCTTTATTATTCAAATATTTTTTATTTTGATTTCTTTATTTTACATCTTACATGTATGTATGTTTACTATACATAAAACGAAAATATTTATTGCAAAAGTTTTGAACTAAAAGAAAAAAGAAATAATAAAAATCAAATAATAATATTGCCTTTTAATGTTTGCGTGTTTTTAACTTAAATATGTAAAAAATATATTAATTTTTATGTATATATAATAAAATTGTTTTCACAACATTTTGTTGTTGTTTTTGTATTAGTATATAGTATATCTAGTCAAATTCATAACAAACAAATTTACCACATTTTTTTTTATTTATTTCTTTTCTTTTGCCTTAAAAGTAACTAATATTTCACATCAAAATTCTTTTGTTTTATTATGCAAATTTAGCCATATTTATTTATATTCATATGCTAAACAAATTGCAGTTACACTAAAAAAATACAGATCGTATAGATTAATATATTTAAAAAGTTGATAAAAAGATTTACGTGCTTTTTAAATTATTTCAAGTAATCAAATTGTTTCAAGTAAACAAATCTAGATTAAGTACATGAATACTAATGAAAAATTTAGAATTGCAAAACACAATAACATTTTTAATAATTTACATTGACAGCATAGGTCAACAAAATTTGAAAAATTCGTACCCACAGGTTTTCGAGATATCGTGTCCTTCTCCACCTTCATGAAAAATGTATATACTATACTTTATACTTTTCCGTCCCTATTCCAAGTCCTTATATATACATATAGCGAAGTCTATTAATTAATTTAATTTTCTGAAGCCCACAGATAACTTCGGGAGTTAGTACTAAGTGTTTTTTTTAGAAAACAGAGCATTATCCATCATTTAGTTCAGTCATTATTATAAAAAGCTAAATTTTGACATTTAAGGGAAGTCGATTCAGAGTAAATATATATAAATTAGGATTAGTCACTTCACTTTTATGACGTTTTGTCAAAAGTTCCTGAGCTCATAAAAATTAAAATAAATTAAAAGTTAATAATTTTAAAATAATTTTCTAGAGCCATAAAACTACGCTTGCAGAGTCCGAAATAAAGGAGAAAAGGGACTTTTTTATACTTTTTCCTTATTCAAAAAGCACTTTCTGAATTTTCTCTAATATTGAAACTAGAAACATAAAAATAATCATGTAGAGCACGGAGTAAATCAGAACCCTTAAAAGGGACTTTTTGATACTTTTTCGTTCTTCAAAAGGTACTTTTTGAGTTTTCTATAATAATAAACCTATAAACATTAAATTTTTTATAATATTGAACTTAAAAAACGCAAAATTAAACACGGATCATTGTGATTGAATCAAAATTATCAAAAGGGGAGTTTCTGATACTTTTTCGTGATTCAAGTGGTACTTTTTTGATTTAATGAAATATGCAATTTATAAGAGAACACTTTTTGGTATTTTTTCGTTGTTCAATTGGTACTTTTTGAATCAGGTTGAATGTTGAATATTAAACCTAAAACCAAGGACTTAAACACTCAGCGGTAGTTTTTGATTTCTTGTAATTAAATTCGCAATGCCTGTTTTTTTAATACACGATGGTGAATATAAACTTAAGTTTATATTGGTATTATTAACCTATTTAATTAAACAATATTAATGTTTTAATTATATTTTCAGATCACCAAAGCTACAGTTATAGCTATCTAATGTGTTTGCTAGCCATTAGGTCAAAATATTCATAGATCAAAGATAAACCTAACTTTTTTCGATTAATTTCTAATCTTAAATCATTTTTTTTAGTGTGTAAAATTTTCAAAACAATTTTCTTTACAAAGTAAAGTGCAGCAGTACTTGTATCGCAAATCATGTGCAGTATTTTTAAAGTCTTTCTTTATATACATACATACTTATGTACGTACGAATGTATATTTGGTTATATACTAGCAAACATAGTTATTATCTCTGAACGTAAGTATATTTATTGGTTATTGTTGCTTTCAAAATATTAGTTGTCTAGCAAAATAAAAAAACTATAGTATTTCATGTTATTTTTAGTTTTTGTTAATATTTTGTTTTTGGTTTATAGCCTATATAAATTTCAATGAACTGATTTTTTGTCTAATGGTTAAAAAAAAAAAAAAAAAAAAAAAAGTGAAAGAAATTGTAGGTGTTGCTGTGGTTATTTGTAATAGTTTTTAACGTTTAATGTTTGATGCAATTTTCTGTAATTTTCTATACAAATTTTGTGTAAATATTTTATGTTGGAATATTTAGTATGAAATGTTTCTCAAATTTTGTTGCTAGGAAATTAGGGTTGAATTCAGTGCTTATTTATCCATAATCGAGAATTTTAATACATATTTAAATTTGAAAATATTTTTATAATCTTTACTTCTAAAATATTATTTGTGGTGTTAATCAATTGGCTATTGTGTTCGTATATGGAAGGACGGAAACGTAAAAAATTTACATTTTTAATTTTAAATAAAATATCCCTTTTTTCCAAAGAACCTAAAAGGTTTTAGAATCTGTATACTGCTGAGAATGTTAATTCTCATAGAATCATTTTCTGAGTCGATTAGTTATGTCCGTCCGTCTATTCGTCCGTCCATGTAAACCTTGTAATCAAACTACAGGTCGTAATTTTTAATGTAATTCAATGAAATTTGGCATATGATCTGCTATTGTACCAGGGAAGCCTATTGAAAATGGTTAACATTGGTCCGTTATTTCACTTAGCCCCCATACAATTGAACCTCTCGAATAGGACTTTATAATTATAGGGCTTCATTTGACCCTAGCCCCTATACGAAGCCATATTATGACGTTTTGTAAATTATTTCATGTTTTTGTATTTCTCCGAATAAAACAACTCCAAATAAAATATTTTGTTTTAGATTATTTCATTTTGTAGAGTTATTTGATCTATGCAAATTTTGTTGAAATTTGAAATTCTTTCATTATTGTTGGGAGTTATTTTATTTTACTAAAAAATTACTAAATTTTTTGCATTAATGGTTCTTGGCCTCTCGGTTAAGTTTTGTTCCTCTGGTGTTTGTTTAAATTTGGCTTCGCTTACCAAACATGAAATGATATACAATTTTTATATTAAACATATTTCATGGAGTTAATAAATTTGGCTACTAAGGCTTTCATACATATACATAGGTACATATTGTATTATAAACCGTTTATAATGCGTACATCAAATACCTAATAATGATGTAATTTAGTAATTTTTCATAATTTACTTTTTAATGCAACTATTTCGTACATTCTGCTGAAGTTTTCTTTACAATCGTTTTTTTTTTTTGTTGTGGATTTGATTTTCAATTTAACGCTTTTTTAAACATCAAATTAAATAAATTACAAATTTAAGTGCTTTTTTATATTTATTTTACAAAATTTCAAAGAAAATGTTCATACAAAATACAGATATTTATTCACTGATTAACACACTTACAATGAGCAATAAACAATAAACATTTATATGTATGAGTTAAAAAAATATAAAACATTGAGGCATACAAATGTTAAATGAATTTTTAAATAGTGTTATAATTAATTTCTATTAATTGTGATGAAATGTATAAAATAAATTGGAAAAAAAGCTTTCTTAAAAACTAAACTACTGCATACATATGTATGTATAAACGATATACGGCTTAAAACTAAAAAACCTATTAGACATGGTTAAAATTTTAAATTGAAAACAAAATTAAGTTTCCTTTGTTGCACGAATATTTATAAATATCTGCATATACATACATATACACATTAATGGTTACCTCATAGTTCATAAATATTTTGGCTAATTTCCCAAAAGTTTTGGATAAGATCGTTTATAAAAAACCCAAAAACAATGTATTTAATAGCTGGGCGTAGGTGGAAGCTACAACTTAGCCAACTTTGATGTAGACATTATGATAATGAACTTTATTATCACTTTAAATCAATGACCTCATTTAATGGCATTTATGCAGCACTAATACAAATGAGCCACCCCTTTTTAACAATGCAAATAATTTCTCTGTTATTAATTTTTGGAAAAAGTTAAAAATATAAAATCAAAAAATTTTATAGCCTTGACCGAAACCTTTAAAAATTCCACAAAATATTTTGCTTGCTTCTTTTTCACTTCATAATTACATAATAATTTTCAAACGAAAAATTTTCCTCTTCAAATTTTTGAATCACATGTGAAGCTGGTTTTAATTTTTTTATTGAAGTTTCATTGAAGAAAATAAAATTATAAAAAACTGCCAAAAAGATCTGGTAAACAGCAATTTCTTTATTGGAATAGTGAAGAAAAAAAAAAACGAAACAGCTGAATGAAAACTGGCATAATGAAATTTAGCACACACATCCAACATGCAATTGAATTTGTGAAAGAAAAAAAATTGAATCAACAAAAAAAAATATAACTGGATAATTTCATAATATCCGGTTTATGGGGAAATATAGATTTATTGATACCACATACAGTTTTCTTTATTTATTTAAAAAAAATTATCATTATTTTTTCTTGCTAGTTTCGTTCAAATAAATAACAGAGTGACAATTTTATTGAAGTAAACTATATTTTATAAAATTGATTAACATAAAAAAACTCTATTCGGAAACTGGTAAAAA